TCTGATCAGGAGGTGCAGCCGGGGTGTCACCATGCCTTTGGGGGATAGGGCACAGAAAGGGGAAGAATTTTCAGGGGCCATTCTAACTCATACCTGCAGGGGAGATACCATTATTGTAAAAGTGATTTTCCCAGGGTAAGGCTCCTCTATTGCATTTGGATGTGCTGACCCCTGTGATTTCCCCAAATGTGGGAAAATCATCTGCCTAACTAGGGGACTGTGTTTATGGTTTCCCCTGGTCTTTCTGGAATCACCCTTTCCCCTTTGGTCCTTGGCTGTTTTCACTGCCTGCTGCCATAGGCCTGTTGGCCTTGCTGGTTTTCCAGGTGGTCTGCAGGAAGCAGATCTTGGAAAGCTAGCAGTGCAGAACGGTGAGGTCCAAACAGCAAGCAGTCTCTGGTGCTAGTTCAGAGGCCTCCTAGCATGGCAGTGGGAGGCTTCTGGGTGGTGGTGGCTCAGCCCTTTTTTTACTGAATTTATTCCATAAGATGCACATACTTTCTCCCCCTCTATTTGGGGGGGGGCGGAAGTGCGTCTTATGGAGCGAAAAATACGGTAATTAGACAAAAATTGAGGATCATTTTATACATGGAAGGCAGCCACTTTCCCTGCTTTTTGCGAAGCCACAGGGCTTAGCAAAAAGGAAGGGAAGGCTCTCTTTGGGTAAAGCGGCCATCAAAGCAGCCCTTTCATGGTTGCTTCAGGATCAAAAGGCTGCGATCGTGCAGCCCTTTCATGGCTGTGTTACCCACTTCCTAAGCCCTGCTTAGGGCTTTAAGATCAAAGGGCTTCTGGATCAAAGGGCTGCAGTCTTACCCACTTCCTAAGCCCTGCTTAGGGCTTCAGGATCAAAGAGCTGCAATCTTGCAGCCTTTACCTGAAGGGAGCCTTCCCTTCCCTTTTGCTAAGCCCCATGGCTTCAGAAAAGGCAAGGAAAAGCGGCGGTCAGAGGGAGCCCTTTGATCCCTGCTTTTCCCTTCCTTTTGCTAAGCTCCATGCCTTAGCAAAAGGAAGGGGAAAGCAGGGATCAAATTTTCTAATTTGGGGTTAGAAAAGGGGGGGGTCGTCTTATACATTGGGTCGTCTTATAAATAGAAAAATACAGTAATAATACAAAAATATAATGCAATAAATTCTGTTGCTAGCTGAAAACTACTTTTCAATTAAAAATACAGAAATTTAAACCCATTTGCAAATCTCAGGAGAATATTTGCAGTTGGTAGAAGGCATCTTTATTTAATTCAGTCTTAATTAGCTTCCTAAAAACAAAGAGGGAAGGTGCCCGTCCCGAAATATTAGATCATGATTAAGAAAGCTCAGTTCCTTGTTTCAACTTTTTTGCCCTCCATAAATGTTACATTTCTTCACATCATAGACTGCCAGGAGTGTTTGAGATGGGTAGCGATTTTGTGGGAGAGGCGCTCTGTCAGATATTGAAGTTCTGAACTGATACGGACTTTATAGGTCATGACCAGTACCTTAAATTGAGCATGGAAACTTAACAGGGAGCCAACATGAAGGTGTGTCAAGACTGGAGATACGTGTTCATATCTGCTGGAACCCGTAATCCAATCTGGCTGCTGCATTTGGGACCTGCTGAAGTTTCCATACTGAGTTCAAGGGCAGCCATATGTAAAGAGCATTACAGTAGTCCAGTGATTACCAACATAGGAACCACTGTTGTTAGTTATTTCTTATTCTGGTAGGGGCATAGCTGGGCAATCAAGCTAATAAAAGGCACTCTTGGCCACAGTAAATATATGTCCCTCCATTGAGAGAGATGGGTCCAAGAGTACCCCCAGGCTGCAAACCTTATCCTTCACGCGGAGTGTAACCCAAACGAGGCCAGGTAAATACCCTTCTAACCAGTCCAATGATCCTCCCAACAATAAAATCTCCATCTTATCTGATTCAATTTCAGTTTGTCGGCCCCCCTCCCAGTCCCTTATTGACAGCAGGCCATATAATTCCAAAGGAGGAAGGGCAACAATAAAAGCAGATAAAGCAGCAGACAAACCAAATATGTATAAAATGTACCAGTCTGTTTTTTTTTTAAGGAAAAGCCTGAACAAGAAGTACTTTACCATGCAGCACAATATTTGTAAAGAGTGTCTCACGCTAGTCTCCTGGGGCACAGAATCCCACAATGTAGATGTAGCTGCAGAGAACAGACACAGTTGTCACACTTTGATAGAATGTGCGTGGTGTCAAGGGTGTTGGGGAGATAGCTCATTTGAACAGAGATCACATGTTGGAAATACACTTTCCAGATCTGCCAGGTCTCTAAACTGCTGTCGACATTCTTTATAACTTTTTAATTATTGTAGTGGGTCATGGTCTGGACCTGGAGGAGGTCACTCTGATGCTGGAGTGGGCTGTCACCATCACCGGTGCTCTGGATCATGAACATCCCCTCTCAGAAGGAGAAAGCATGCTTGTGGAAGTGTTTGTGGAGGATAGAACTCGTGACTAGCCTAGGAATCTCAGTTTCTCAGTTCTGGATCTTTCCAGCAGAGCTAATCCTCATAATGTCAGTGGTGTTGCCAGATAGCTGAGCACATAGGTGGATTTCTGGATAAACACATAGGTGGATTTCAGGGAATCAAGGATAAATTATTATCCTTGATTCCCTGAACTCAGGATAATAATTCCATTGATAATAAAAACAGAAGCAGAAAAAACATAAAAGAACATATGGAGCTACAGAAGAGAAATGTTCCGCTCAATAGGCAGAGAATTTTTGAGGAATCTGAAGTTTCTGCACAGAGGGAACCCTCTGTTTTTTCAACAGGATACTAGGAAAGAGGAAATGTGATAGCTTTTGTAGTAGTCAAATTGACTCCTGGGATTGAAGTACAGTAATTTAAGATGTTAATTTCAACCCCAATCAGTGTCGGTAGGAATGTCACAATCATATGACGTTGAAAGAATAACCATGAAACAAGACTGTGTTTAACAGCCAAAAGAAAGAAAGAAAGAAAGAAAGAAAGAAAGAAAGAAAGAAAGAAAGAATCCTCATTGCAAGTCCTTACACACTTATGGTCTAGACTTGGCAAGAGGAAAAGAGTTATTGAAGGAAGGTATTGCTCTGTGCAACAGAAGGTCATGGGCATCTGACAAATGATAAATAAAGACTGTGGAACTCCTCTCCAGGGGAGGCTCTCTTCATGCTATCCTCCTGGCGGCAGCCAAAGATTTTTCTGCTCAGGCAGGCCGTTGGCAGCTGAACAGGCAGCAGAGAAAGGAGATTTTAAGATACTTTTTCATACTTTTCTATCTCTCTCTCTCTCTGTGTGTGTCTCTCTCTCTGGTGCAATTTTACAGTGAATGCTTCAGAGTCTTTCAGCATAGTAAATGCAACTAAATATACAACACTGTTAAAAAATGCAACACTCTTAACCGTGCTGTATGCTTAGCTGCATTTTCGTATTATACCTTATTGCTGTACAGTATTTGTTTTTCAAATCATTTTGTAAGCTGCCTTGGGTCTCTAAATTTGGAGAAAAGTGGAATATAAAATGAATATGTTTTAAGCCAGCAATTTTCTAGTTATATGATTCCCCGTCTCTTAATAGTGGCAGTTGGGTTTTATAGAGAGCTTTTGTATAAAAATAACATTAAAAACCTAAGAGTAAAAAAGGGCTTCTGAGTCGTGTATGTTTTACATTGCTTTCCTACTTTGAAGTGACATAGTAGAAGGAAAGGGTTGTGGTTGTTGTTGTGTGCTATCAAGTTGGAATAGACTTCTAGCCTAACAGGACTTTTAAGGTAAGTGAGATATTTAAGAAGTTCTACCAGTCCATCCCTACTCCCCATGAGTTTCCATGGCTGAGCCAGGATTCAAACCCAGGTCTCCTAAGTCCTGGTCTGTCACTCTGTCCACTGCACGACACTGGATAACCCTAACAGAAGAGACAAATTAGTTGGGAAAGTTATTCACTTTTAAAAATGCTGTCGCAGCAGATCTTCATGTGATGCATAATAATAAAGTTTCTTTCTATGGCATAAAAATCCCCCCAAATTTTATGAAGAGTAAAAAACCTTCCTTGGAGGTTTATAGGTGACTGATTTTGTGGCTGGGATGAAAAGACATACTTTAGACACACCTACTTTAGACCTATCTGCCCATATCGCAGTCTACATACGAAAGCCTTGTTGTTCAGGGAGTCACTGAGGGGCAATTTGTGGGTCATCAAGTTTGATGACTCATGAACTGAGATGAAGCGCCAAAATGGCGCTTCGTCCCCATCTCTAATAGCTACCATTCTGCTTGGGGACCAGCGTGTAACTAGTGACACATAATGTAGTCACCATGCAATTCATGACTTTGAGGTAACAGGCATTGTAACTGATAGCTATAAAGTTACATTTTAGGTACAACAAGTAGTTATTCAAACCCCACTTCTAAAGGGCATTTTGAGGACACTGTTTGGAGTTTTTCAACTTTTTATGCTGATTTCATACTGGTCTGTAGTAGCAAATGAAGTTTTTTTTTTGTTTTTATTTTGTTTTGTCCTCTATAAATATTTGTGAGGTACAAGATCAGAATTGGTCAGCAGAGGGAACTATTAAGTGCTTCACTGTATTTTTCTGGACAACTGATAAGGGCAGCACCTTGTATTAATAAAATGTAGTGCAACACATTATTTGTGCAGTCAGAGCAATGATAATTATTATAGCAACATGGCTACGAAACAACTCTTGAGGTCAGTTGGGGACACTTTTCACAAGTGAGTTTTTCATTCTATTGTAGCAACTCCAGATTTCTTCTCTGAATGACTTTGCACTTGAGTTTAGCAGCTTGAAAGTAAAATTAGGTGTCATAGTCCATGGAAGCTGCCACTTATCAATAGAGGACATCTCATGTTATATTTTTGGAGAGGTTCTTTTGGAATTGTTCTTAGGTTGCTTTATATATCATGTTATTTTGCTTAAGTCGTAGCAATCCTGTTTTGCTTTGCAGAAAGAACACACATTACCCAAATTCCTCCGTAGGACTGACTTAAAAGAAAGGAATTTTGCAAGCTTTATTACCATCAAATATGAAGTCATTGTCCCTCTGTTGTTGTTGTTTTTATTTGAGTGAACATTTGGATTTGGTCTAGATGGGCTTAGATCTTCTGAGAGTACACCTTGCAGTGAAAAGTCAGTAGAGACTACATTTATAATTTTCATTTCAAGCTAAACAGATTCCTCAGTAAGGATATTTTGATAAGCTTTGGGGTGGTGGAGGAAAAATAACAAAGAATATATTTTATGACAATTTAGAAACCAAATTAAAATGAATGGCAGTGTTCCAAATATTTCAATGCCATATATGAAGTGAAATCAATTGATAAAGAAAAAAAATTCATCAGACAAGATTAGAGTGATACTATTTCAGCATTTACCCTGATAATTACAAATAGACATATAAAATGACATTAAATAACCATTTAATTATGTCAACATCAGCTGCAAGGGATCCTTTGAATTTTTTGTTACTGGCCTCTTTTTCTATTTGATGTCAATTTTCTTTAAGCAGTAATTAGGCAGACTTAATTAAATATGTTAAAACGTTAACAAGAAGGATGTATGAGTTCTGCAGAAGTAACAATAAAAATGAAGTATAAAAATATCTCATATCCAAGACATACTCAGTTCTTCCAGTTAAGGAGTTTTATTTTAATCAATAAACGAAAATGAAAACTTAAGAAAGACAACAATAATCAGTTAGAAAAACAGTTTAGAAATCTTCCTGTCAAACTGACAGCCTGTGCAGAAAGAATAGGTGTTGGTTCCCCAAACAAAAGTACTGTATCTATCAAACCACTTGTGCTAAAGATAGCTTACCTCCTTGATTTTTTCATTGGGGGGGGGAGAGGTATAAACCGCACTTTAATGCAAATATGCTGATTTCAAGTGGCAATATGTGTGAGCATCCCGTTTACAATGCTGTCCACAAGTGTTTTTGTGTTCTTACTGGCACTGAAGTAATTACTCTTTAATTGACGGCAACTCCCAGACAACAGCTGGATCAGGCTGTGAATTATATTGTATGTATATCCATTAAAGAAAAGCAGAAGTGTGAATGCACATGAAAAAAATATGGTGACATAATCACATTAATCGACCATAGAGCATGAGGTAATTGGTAGTGTTTGCTTGTACTTGACATTGTCTGTACTACAAAAATAGCTTGTCCTGTTGATCTCTCTTTCTGAATTATTCAGGAATCTGAAGCTTTGTTCCACAAGGCAATTAAAGCCAATCCAATGGCAGCCAGTTACCATGGTAATTTGGGTAAGACATTTTACAGCTCCCCTACTGCAAACTTTAAAAAAAAATCAGACACATTGCTTGTACTTCTTTTCATGTTCATTTTCTTTAAAGACTACTGTTTTAAGGCCTTCTTTTGGGGGCTCGATGTCTATTCTGCCTGCTTGCTAAACAAATTGCCAACAAGAGAATGGCGTTCTGGGAATGGGTTTCCAAGAATGCTGAGCCTATGGCATTGTATGGCGGACCAACCAGGCTGCGCGCTGTAGCCCAGAGGTAGCGGCATGTCAGTGGTGGCAAATTGGCTCTTTTGTGCCGTGCTTGCAAACCGCCATGAGCTCTCCAGATAAAAACACCAATTTATGGCTCCAGCACAATCCGCTCTTGTCATTTCTTGGCCCACTCAGCTCTCAAACGTGTCCCCTCCAGCTGGCACCGGAGTAGGCTGCCACCATGCCGACAGCCAACCAAATGTTTTAATGTTTTCTAAGTAATTGGCAAGATTGTCTGTTCTTCAGCAACGCTGCTAACAAAAGCTCCTTTTTGCTGTTTCAGCTGTGCTGTACCATCGCTGGGGAAATCTTGACTTAGCCAAGAAACACTATGAAGTCTCTCTGAAGCTTGACCCCACAGCAGCTGGGACCAGGGAGAACTATAGTCTTTTAAAAAGGAAACTGGACCAACTGCAAAAAAGGGGTGACGTCTGAGCTTTCTTCTCAGGCTTTGAATGCATAGCAGATAGCATTTATTGGTAATGTGGCCATCATCAGAGCATAGCATTCAGTCACACTCTCATTTAAAAACAATACAGTACTATAATTATAGTACCAGAGGTGGACATTGGGATTTTTCTTGGAGACTGACATCAAAAAGTAATTAAAAAACAACAACAATCAGCCTTATTTTCAAACTGCTCATGTAGGGAATTAAAGGATTTTTGTTTCTTCTTCTAAATATTTGAACTAATTTTTAAATACGTTGAAGATCTGATACCCAGAGCATTTGCACTAATAGAGGCCACACTAAATTGAACAGTAGGACACATTCAAATTATATATTATATAATTATATGCATTTTCTGTGGAAAATATAACCATAACACGATACAGCAAATCAGGAAAGAAAATGAATGGTAATATTTTACTTTTGTGTATACTTAGTCAATGGAATTCCAATGCAGTTTTGGTATGAAATGTGGACCTGATATAATGACATCATATTGAACAACAAATGTTACTTTTTACATCCAGGTGAAGACGATGTTTGTCTTAATAATGTAGAGGGTATTGCTTTTTCTGAGAGGTTTTCTTGTTCTGTCCATTGAATACACAGTTAATATATGTATATGGTGAGAGTGGAATCAATTCAGTTACTTTATCAAGATAAACCTTTGAATTCAAATCATTTATAGGTTCAAAGTCAACCTTTAGCTGTTGCTATGCAGCTTAATTGGTTATGAAGGAGGGCTTGATGTCAAAGTAGTTTAAATTAGAAAACCTCTCATACCTGGAAATATGCCTGGAGTCTCATAGCATCTCAACTGGGCAATGGTTATTACATTTTAAGTCAGTGTGACTGTTTGTCGGGTTTTTGTCTGCTGTTTTGTTGGCAGCTGCTTCCTCTGGGATGTTAGCAGTTTAAATTCACATGGTGCACCAGGGTTCTTAATTCTTCTCGGGAATGATAGGACTCGGATCTCTTGTTGAGCTCAACAGTTCTTTAAAGAAACAAAAGCTTTGCTTAGATGCTCTTAAAATCATCATCCTCATCGAACTGCAGAGCTGAAAGAGACCCTATGGATCGTCGAATTAACTCCCAACCTCTGACTCCACAGCCAGAAACCTAAACCACTGGGCTATCCAAACTACCTAAACCTTCATGTAGAACATAGTGAAGGATGTAAGTGAATAGAGAAAATCAAATTTGATGTCTTAATTGGACCACATTGAGCTACAATAGCCAGTTTTACAGAAACAGCTTGGAAAAGTTACTTTTTGGATTGCAGTTCTCAGCACCCCTCAGCCATCCTAACCAATTGCCTGTTTGAAAGATTCTGCAAGTTGTAGTCCAAAAAATAAGTTTTATAAATGCTGGCAGAGTCTGCCTCAGAATGATGCCTTACGCAAAACTTTGAGATAATACACCTCTGAAATCTTGACTGTACAATATAAATAACTCCTAGGCATGGGTTTGTTTCTTTTCTAGCTGGATTAAGCCACATAAAGACAGACCACTTCCTGAAGAAAGAGAGAGGTTTTACACAATAGGGTCCATTCTTTCGTGTTGCAGTTTGGATTTTCATTGCTGCCCATTTGTGCTTTTTTTATTTTTGTACTTTTAGATAGCTTGAGGTAAATGTTGCTGTATCACAGATCTTTTTTCCCATTAAGAGCAGCTGTCTGATAAATGAAAAATCGATATACTTATTTGATAAAAATATACAATATACATACCTGATTGGTACAACTGGCAAGGCCATCCTGTTATAGATTTAGCCCTACTCTACTCTCAAATAGATGATTGGTGCTGTCAAAGTCATACTGGTTTGTTCAGTGCTAGATTTGTGTAGCCCCAGTCTGGTCTTGAGCTGTAGAGATTGGGTTTCAGACCTTCGGAGGCATTGTGCATGTTGAAATGGGATGTGCTGAAGTTTCTTATTCGCAGTACATCATCCCCCTGAACACTGTGCTGTTGTAAAGTAGGATGCTTTGTTCTTTCTTTAATAAATGCATCATACTGTGTATATAAATGAATAAGTCAAAAAAGTGTAAAAACTATAAATAGAATTAATTTCTACCGGTTGTAAAGTATTCAGTTCAACAAATTTTTCTAATGTCCATTAGTTAACAGGTAATTTTCTCATATGAGGAATTCAGCTATAAAGTATCCTGAATTTTGAAGATACTGTTTCTAGTAGAGATTTTCATATTAGTTGCATCTTGAATGTTGTTGATATCTGATGTAATTAATTGTCTTGCTCATTACTTTTATTTCTCTAGTTTAAATGTGAGATTTATCCCCTGTTGGCCTGCACTATTTGTTGTGCATTAACCTGGTGAATCAATATTGTATCTTAAGCATGAAATTATAATGCAAAGCTTTGTAATTTAGCATTGCTTTAAACTGAGGAAAAGGAACTTTTTTAAAGTATCCTGGAAATCCTATTGGGTTCACATGAGGTTTGTATAAGTTGCTTCCGCAAATCGAAAGGGTGTCAGAGCACATTCCAGTCATGTGCCTAGTCACACCCCCTGCCATGTAACCAAGGTGCAGTTTTTCAATTAGCTCCAGCAAGTTATGCAAACCTTAGGTAAATACCAACATGATTGCCACATTTTATTTTTCAATATTCCGAAAATACTTTTGAAACACTTAATCTATGCATCTCCTCACTGCGGTTTTAAGCTGGCAAGTCATCAGTTTGATCCTTAGTTGTAGTTTATTCAGTAAAGCACATGTTTGTAGACAAGCAGTAGTATTATTTGAAGTCACTAACAAACACAACCTGGAGAGTGCAACCTATTCTGACACTTTTATAGATGTAGTTGTTTTGTTTCACACAACATGTGTGCATCTTTTTTTAAGCTGGTATTTGATGTGGTCCTACTTTTGAAAATGATTCATTGTCAGACTGATAAGCAAAGACAGAGTCCTTTTGATAATTCCTTGGACACAAGGACAGTCACACAAGCTATGCCCCACTCCCAACATTGTGGGCTGCCCTTTGTGTAATCTGTCATTTGACTGGCCACATGACCTGTTTGGCCATCAATATATTACCAAACATACAAAGGGCAGTGTACTGTAGGAGAACTGCTTGCACAATTGCCCTTCTGTTCTATGTTTCATCAAGAGGATACAGACTTCTTCTTTAATGGTTTTCCATTTTAAAATGTTGACCAGAATCCAATTTAACTCTACTAGCATAAAATTCAGCTGCAAGTTAAGAAGTCAGTGTAGGCCTTTGATGTTGCCGAGTCATGCAGTTGATATGCCCGCGCTGACTTCCTGACTCGTGGCAATTCATAGCTGATATTTATACCAATGGAGTTATGCTGATAGGCATAACTAATAAGATTCTGGCCAGTATATAAATATATATAAACACTTCAGAAGCAGGTGCTATGGCAAAGGAATTTCCATCCACATCATTTACCCCAGCATCTAAATGATAGTTTCCATTCTCCTTTTCTTTGAAAGTTAAGAGCTTCCTGATAATTTTGGGTGTTCTGTTCCTGATTATGGGTGCTGGGTTAGGTCCAGGTTAAGTCACAGAGTAGACCCACTGAAATCAGCAGGGCTTGCTATGACTCATTTGCTGTTAATTTCAATTGGGTTGCTCTAAATTTAACTCTTTCGGATCCAATCTGAGCATTATTCATTTGTTACTTACTTGATTCTTGGCCATATGCTTAGAGAGGAACACCTATCTCCTACCCCCGAACTGTCACTTTTCTCCATGTGAATAGCAATGTATCTAAAAAGCAGAAGGGTTCTGTTCATGTGTAGGTTCTACATGTGAGCCATGGCCCTGGAAAACTGAGGTTTATTTTGTGCAGAGAGCCTTTCATTTTAAATACATTGTTCTCCACAGAGAGGAAACAGTGGAGAGGAGAGGAGCTAGGCAGTGCTCGCCAAGATATGCATGTTTTGTTAATATGGTATGTTTTGTTAATAACCAATGCTTATGGATTTATATTACCATAATTGTATATATGCTGTTGTTAGCCGCTCAGAGTGGTATAAATATACCAGATGGGCGGGATATCAATCAATCAATCAATCAATCAATCAATCAATCAATCATCATCATCATCATCATCATCATCATCATCATCATCATCATCCAGCTTTTGGGGCATATATGGCATACTGAACATACTGTAGGTATTCCAATTTAGTAGGCACATGTACATCTGCCAGTCAGAAACTGCAATAGCCAAAAGAGTGCTATGTGCTGAAATTTCAGGATGCTAGACTGATGTCTCCGCCCTCTAAAAATACACATTTGATTCTTGCTAAAGTACTGATTTCCAGACAGAAATGCCTCCTGTTATGCGTGGAAAGGTTTGCCGTGGCTGTATGCCTGGGTTTCTGGATAGCTTCAAGAAGTTTTTTTTTATTTATTTTGGTTGGTATGTTAGCTGTAACCTATTTTTAAAACAGCAGTTTAAAAAGTATGTAAACTGAGTAGTAAGCAATCTTTTATATGCCTACTGGAAACGAGCACTTACCACTGTTCAGCACAGTTTGGTGGATTGGGCCCACAGGTGTTGTGCGGGCACCCAATTTCATACCCCACCTCTTTCCTGCAGGGGCCCCTTCAGAAGCAACAACACAGGCTTCCCTGCCCTGCCTCCTCTGAGTGTGTGCCCATGGGAGAAGGCAGTATGCAGAATCTGGGGTGCCCACACAACACCTGTGGGCTTGATCCGCTGAACCGTCCCAAACTGCTGTAAGTGCCCATCTCTAATGTCTTCAGTGCAATTACGCTCCTCCCTGTCAACAAAAAGTCTTTGGAGACTTTTTAATTTACTTTCCCTGTGATGGTAAGCCAGAGTAATACAGTAGTTGGTACACCCCCATCTTAACCATATAGCTTGTGTCACAGCTCATTTTATGACTTGGTTGGTCAAATATCAGATTCACATGGGAGACTAGCACATTAACTCTGCTCACCCTATTTTTATGATGTCCTAGTCCAGTGGTTCTTAAGCTTTGTTACTCGGATGTTTTTGAACTGCAACTCCCAGAAACCCCAACCAGCACAGTTGGTGGTGAAGGCTTCTGGGAGTTGCAGTCCAAAACTCCTGAGTAACCCAAGGTTAAGAACCAGTGTCCTAGTCATTGCAGTGTGAGGGCAAAATTAGATATCATTTTCATCGTAAAGCAAACTGAGGGTACGATTGGGAGGAGGGCTAAGATGAGGACACATAATCATTTCTCTTTCCTGCCAGTTTTGTGCTCAAAATCTGTTTTTACCATATATAGCTTTTATTCCTTAGGAAAAAATAATGCTTGGTTGTATTTGTTTTCATAAAACATACCACATTTAATTACCAAGTTGCTTAAAGCAGCATTTAGAGCCATTTCAGATGGCAACAGGTATTCAGATGAAGGATTTGGATATGATTATTGGCAAATAAATAAACCAACATGATGATTTGGAAAGCATTTAATAAACAGCTTTATTAATTAGAACAGATGTCTGGATTCCCTAAATACTAAGGCATTTGTACAAAACCTGCAATCTACCACTAAATGAAGTAGAACCAGGCTGTAAATCACATTGTTTTTCTCTTTTTAAAACTAAAATAAGTATTTAATTGAAACAATGTCTCAACTGTTTTTAGACTCCTTACAGATTGTACATGATTTTTATGTATGAATCATTTTTTAAATTGGGTAACTTTCAAAATCATATCAAAACCAACCCAACTGATTGGATACATAATCCATAAGGTAAATGTCCTTATGGATCTATTGCAGTGGTCCCCAACCTTGGATAACCTAGAGGTTTTCTGACTGCAGTTCCTGGAAGTTTTCACTACCAGCTGTGCTGGCTGGGGTTTCTGGAAGTTGTAGTCCAAGAACACCCCGAGTTACCTAAGGTTGGGAACATTGATTTATTGGAACACAGTCTGCTCCTATGTAGCACAGTTCAGCTCAACTTATTTTCATGTCATCGCACTTGATCCCATGGCTAAATACAGGATTGTAGCCTTAGCAAATTTGCACCTCAGTTTAAGAGCCACTGAACTTAACACTGCAAGGATGTTAGCTGTTTAGGTGC